CGAGGCGCCGAGCGGAGGCCGCCCGCCACCTGCCGCCCGCCCCCTTCTCTCTGCGGGAGTTTGGAGCTGTCTGGGGCGCTAGAGTTTAGGTTTTAAATGTTCTCAACAAAAAGAGGGAGTCATCCTTCTTGACCTGAGACAGTTCACTCCCGCCCCAGTCTGGGGGTCCGTCAGCCTTCGCCCCCCTTCGCTGGCCGCAGAGATCACGGCCCTTTCCGATTTGTATTCCCCACGCCGCGCAGCAGCCGGCCCGCGGGGAGGGCAGTGCCTAGCGCTTGAATTGACTCAGTTCAGTGAAGCGGCCGGAGAATCCAGAATGCCAGACCCTCACTACCCCAGGTAGAATTAATGAATTCATTGTTACTATCCCAGGGCAATGGCAACTCTTTACTAGCACTACTGTTGGACGCTTCTTGTGTCACGTATTTATTTGCTCGGAGCTTACTTTACAACCCTCACAGCTCGACTGATGCATTTTTCCCCCTTTCTTAAAAAGCAGGCGTTTTTTATTTTAAAGCCATGATTTAATTTGATAATTCAAATGTGTCACCATATTGCTCAAATGCGGCACCACAGTGGAATGGCTCTCCTTTTGTTTGTTGTGACTTACCAGATCAACTTGGAATAAGCTAATTTAAGAGCAGAGTCTTAAAACAGGCCAGTTTTGGATACGTTTGTCAAAGCAAGAGTGGTCAAAATTGTCAGTTCAAGCTGGTTTCAACTTGTCCACACTATTATGTAGAAAATTCCCTCCCCCCCGCCATTAAGTTTACTGGTACCTTTTAGGTATCCAATACAGTTACATTCATCATGGGGATCTTGTCCCTTTACAGGACTTAACCGGTTCTTATTTTTCCCCATTTCCCTGCCCTCCCTTCACCCCCTCCATTCCTTAGAAAACTTTTTCTAAAATAGACTTTTTCTAGTAAAATCTTCTCCGTGGTTCTTGGTCGAAGATTAGTTAACCTCTAAAGAGAAAGTGGTGAGTTTCGAAAGAAAACATCTCCTGGTTGTCCATCCATATCTTTTGGTCTTCTTTGTTGTTTGGTGCTGGGACTTGGGGCCCTAATGCATGTTAAGTGCGTACTTTAGCCCTGAGTTACATCTCCTTCCCAGTTTTGTTTTTAAGTAGTTATCTTTAATCGAGGAGGTTTGGGGAGCCTTAGATTGTGGCTCAGGTAAAGGTCTGTGTGCTGTAATAACATACATCACTTTTTGAAAAACAGCATTTTGTTTTAGGTACTTTATACCTGAAGAGGAACTGATCCATGATGTTTGATATTTAAATTGATAACACAGCCATTAAAAAAGTTTAATACTTAATGTAGGTGGAGAAATATGAAATACAAGAATATTCAAATGTTGGTTTATTTTTAAAACTCGTAGCCAGGAGTTCTGGCTCAGTGGTTCTGCT